AAATTACTGTTACTCATTCTAGCTTATTCTGCTAGTGTGTGGTAAACTTCACTAAACATGTCGTGACATTTCCAGGGTTACACGGAGGTGTCAGTTAGTTCCAGGCCAGCTCCTGCAGATGCAGATTAATGATTAACGTCTGGTGTTAGATTAGTGTAGGTAATGAAGTATACTGAAAAATGGTTGTTCTGTTTTCTGTGTAAGGGTTGTATATTCTTTGTTGATTTTGGATCTTCATGTGTTGCTTTGTCCCTTGGGCATGTCCAACGGTCTTGGTTCTTGCTTTTGTTACATTGTTTTGGGTTGGACATTGTACCTTGACTTGATTATACCTTATACATATCTTATGCATTGTGAAAGAGCATTTTGTTAGCATTTTAATCAAAGAGCTGATTTTTACAGTGTTTGAAGATTCTGAATGCTTTTTATAGTTTCTGTAGTGTTTTGTTCGCTGGGAGTGATGTTGGGGCTTGTTGGAGTTTCAGCACTTGAATCATGCATTTTTTATGTGCTTGTACAAAAGTCTGGTATTGGACATTGTTAGGGGAATGCAAATTTGTATGGAGCAATATTTTGCTTGTTACTTGTAAATCTTTTGTATATAACATTATGAGAATTGTATATCCTTGACTATTCTTCCTATTTTAATGTATGTTGTGTACTCTGATTTTTTGTAATGCAACCCATACAAGAACAAAGTTCAGAGTTTTGTTTGTTACAAGTTTTGTATAATTTACTTCAATATATTTTAATTTAATTTAATGCAACATTGAGCATAACATCCCTTCTATAAAACAAAGCAATTGTTATTAAATAGACACCAAATAAATCATATTTCCTATTGAATGCATCACATTAAATCATAAATTATGTCGTCTATATAACATCAAACTTTGTCGACAATAACAAATAACAATAGTCTCCTCTGCAATGAAATGATTTGATGCTCTTGGGTTGATTTGCTGCTGCTGCTGCTGGGCCTTTTGGTGTTGTTGGTGTCTTTTTGCTGCGGCTGGGGCTGCTGTCCCTGTGGTTGTTTTGTTTATATAATTTATGGGTTTGTTTTTGTCTTTGTGAAATGGGTTCTTTTTTAATTTTAGTTCAGTGGATTGTTTCTTGCAGAAGTTTTACCAGCAATGGGATCCTGGTGCACAAATAAACACAACAATAACACTACAGACACCGAAAAAGTTGCACCGAATTTCTGTACCGGCCTACATGTAACGCGCGTCTGAATTTTTTTACAATTTTTTTCTAGTGAACGGCCGTCCATCACATTTGGACGGCCGTTCACTCACATGGACGCCCGCCCATATTATATGGACGGGCGTCCATGTAAAAGGGACGGGCGTCCCCATTTAAAGGACGCCCGTCCTTGATTAAAATACAATTAAAAAATTTGTAAAACCTTAGGGGACGGCCATCCATTAATTTTGGACGGGCGCCCACAAATAATGGACGCCCGTCCTTCACCCAAATATGAAAAAAAAAAAAAAATTCTTTGGGGATGCCCGTCCACCAATTGTGGACGGCCGTCCCTTACTTTTGGAGGCGTCCGTAAGAAATGGACGCCCGTCCATTATTTTGCTTTTACAAATAAAAGAGAAATTCTTTGGACGGCCGTCCTTTCACTGTGGACGGGCGTCCGTAATTAATGGACGCCCGTCCATGCATTTGGCTTTTACAAATCTAAATAAAAACGATGGATGCCCGTCCCTAAATTGTGGACAGCCGTCCCTAAATTGTGGATGACCGTCCCTTCATTGTGGACGGCGTCCATACTTAATGGACGCCCGTCCATTCATTATGGACGACCGTCCATAAGGGTTGGACGGCTGTCCCTTATGTAAAGGACGGCCGTCCAACCATTATGGACGGCCGTCCATACTTAATGGATGGGCGTCCATTACTTATGGACGCTCGTCCACAATGTTATTAAAATTAAAAAAAAAAAAAATTATCGCATTTTTTTAATAAATATTTTTTGTTTACATTAGCTTCTCCAATACGCTTCTCCAACAACGAGCGCTAAAATTCTTCGAGCGAAAGAAAACCAGTGCCAAAATTCGTCATCCCCTTCTGCTTAATCGTTGCCGTCTGTTCTTCACCTTAGTGTTGCGTCTGCATTCCTCAACCATTTCTTCTTGCAACAAATGTTTTTTCCTCATTTTCCAGCTACTGTGTGAAGAACGAAAGCTATAATCTTTTCATCAAACCATAGCCATTTTTTACAGTGGAAAGGGAGATCCATTTTTTATAGTGGAAAGGGAGATTAGAAAGATTTGTGCAGGTTAATAAACGATTTTTATATAATTTATGCATTTATTTAGTNTTCATGTTCTTGCCTAAGTTCAAATTCCCATGGGAAATAATAAAAATTATTGACTTAGACAATATGGTCTCAATATGTCTGGTAAAACCATATATAAGACGAAAGAGAAACAATAAGTCAACTAGAACTGGATTTTAGTCTTTATAAAAAAGTTCCCAAGAGACCCGCACCATCTTGCAAATGGACCTGTTGCTTCATTGTTTGCAAGCGCAGTTTCAATTCACTGTTCTCTACAGTCAGGCCATTTGTATCTCTTTGCTCACAAGATGAACATTTACATCAATTAATTTCATTGCTGGCGAAATACATTCAACATAAACTTAAAATGGAGAAAGCTTCTAACAAAAAAGATAAGTCATGACATCCATACCACAGAAAACCAATATTAATTGATTTCATTGCTGGCCATTAATGTGTCTGCATTAACACAGATTAACTGCACAAAATTCAAGCTCTTAATTTATTCAACTAGAATATTAAAAAAAGAAAAATTACAAACCTGAAGACAAATAATTGAAGATCTTTCACACAACAACCAGTCCAATATTCTTTGACAGCTTCTACAACCCAAGCACAATCAAAATCAACATCATCATTTCCTCTTCACCGAATATCAATTAATACCATAACTATAATACAAAAACCAGATATGTCTACTCCTCACATAAGCATTAGCACAAACAATTAGCATGTAATCAAAATCCACTACTAAAATACACAAAACCTTGACATCATCTACCCTTCATTCAAACATTAACACAAACATTTAACATCCAACCATTAACACAAACATTTAAAGTGTCATTCATGACAGCTTCTACAACCAAAGCCGCGGGCACGGCCATTGAAACCAATAAGAAAGGAAGAAAAGAACAAGAAAGTAAACTGAAAGCCTCTTAGGGCTCATCCAAGAACAACAATAGTCTAGAGGCTCTAACTTCACCAACAACAGTCTAGAGTAGCTTGGTTTAATAGTCTTCCCTATAAATGGAGATGAAAAGAAATAGAAATAGGCATACATATTGAATATAAGTGTGTAAAGAGAGTTAACGAAACATGCTCTGCTGAGTGAGTGGGAATGATATGGCATGTGACCTGACAGGTAAGTGAGTAAGAGAAAATGAGTAAAAGGGTAAATAAGAGTAGCATTTCTCAATATGAAAGCGTAGAAACATTTTCTTGAGTGACGGTAGGGTTTATTCATTATTTCTAGAACTGGGTTTAAATGGGATGGTTTCGTTGGCGCAAGAACGAGAGTTCACTTCACTTAAGAAAGTCTTTTGTTTGTAAACCATTATTCCACTTTTTATCATTTTAATATACCAACGGCCGTAATTACAAAACTTATCTAAACACAATAAACATAGTTGACTCTTTAATAACAACATGTTCATTGAACTCGTATATATTGCAAATGTCATTCAACTTGAACCGTAGCCGACGGGCTTGACCACTTGACACCTCACATGGACATGTGTTAATTTATGCCATGGTCAGCGCCCACTGCCTCAGGTATTCTATTGGAAAGTAACACTACAGTCCCAATTATAAAATATGAGAGGACTACAGTACTATTCTTTTATATCGCATTTCTCTTTTTAATCTCATTTAACCTATTCTTATTTTATAAATAAAAAACATTAAGAAAAACCCCACCACACGCGACGAAAAATTATAATTTCATCTCTAATGTTTGGCCTACAATAATATTATATTTCTTGTTAATAACACAAAAATACATTTACCTTGTTTAATAGAAAAACAAAAAATTAATCAATCATATGAATCATAATGTTACTAAATTTTATTCGATCAAGTTTATTTAGATCAAACTCATCAGAAAAGCAGGATTAAAATTTGTCGACGAGTGCATCATAATATAAAATAATTTTTCAATAACATGAATGCGTATAGAGGGTCCTTCTTAACTTCTTATTTTATTATATTCTTAGGTTTATATTTCGGTTATATAATTTTAAAAATCCTGATAAAAATAACATAAGTAATTTGTATGAAAAGAAAAAAAAATTAATCTTGCACCTTTTAATGAAATATAACAATTGTCATTTATAGGGAGAGCTTTTCGATTTTATTAGACCCAACGATTTTGTCAAACTTGAGAGATGACAATGTCATATATATCTGCCAGATTGCCACAACTATAAAGTGCTTCAAACGCTGTTGTTTGAATGGCTACCGTTTAATTTACTATGCTCAGGCACACTGAAAGATTTCTATTCAGCCAGTTGTCTCAGAACACGTCATCATCATATAAGATGCACTTAAATATACATATGAAAAAGCAAACAATAATGCTACGTAGTAAACGAAATTATATGATATATTAACAAATATTTTACGAATGAATTATTATCTATCAAATATGGATAAACGTTTGTGATTATTAGGTGGTCATTTATTTTAAATAGATTTCCATCCATAAAAAATTAATAATAGATTCCCGTAAAATTAATTAATTTTGTTGATAGATGAAAACAAATTCAAAATTGGCAATAACAATGATGCACTTGGTTGTATATTATTTTTTCCATAGGCATCGTTCATTGAATATAAATAAGTCAAACTTGATGGGTTGGGTTTGACCGAATAATTGAATTCTATAAAAACTCATTTAAACCAAACTCATTTCTCCTACTCAAAACTCAACATGAAATTCAACTTCTCTCTTTTACTTTTTTTCCTCTTTCTCTCAATTTCTATCCTCCAACTCGCTTCAGCCGCCTGCCACGCAGATGATGAAACGGCTCTCTTGGCTTTCAAATCCGGTATTACCCAAGACCCATCGGGTCTGCTCAGCTCATGGAAATCGGGTACCGATTGTTGCACTTGGGCGGGTATAAATTGCCTCGTCAACAACCGGGTCACAAGCCTTTCTCTCGTCGGCCAACCCGACAAACCCAACACCTTCTTAACAGGTACCATCTCATCCAACCTTGTCAAGCTCAAATATCTAGATGGTATTTATCTCCAAAACCTCAAAAATCTCTCGGGTAAGTTTCCGGATTTTCTATTCGGGTTTTCCAATTTAAAGTATATTTACATTGAACACAACAAGCTTTCGGGTCAAATTCCTGCAAATATTGGCAACTTAACCCAGCTTGAAGCACTGAGTCTGTCTGGAAACCAGTTCACCGGGATCATACCGAGTTCAATCACCAAATTGATTCAGTTAACTCAGCTGAATCTCGGTCAAAATCTTCTTACCGGTAAGATTCCGGACAAAATGGGCAAGCTGAAGAACTTGACTCTACTGAGTCTCGACCATAACCAACTCACTGGCACCATACCAAATAATTTTTCATCATTTACAAATCTCAGAATTCTGAGACTTTCTTTTAATAATTTATCAGGAAACATTCCTTCTTCAATTTCTTTGCTTGCACCAAAACTCCAATATCTAGAACTAGGCCACAATGCACTTTCAGGGAAAATCCCAGATTTTCTTGGAAAATTCCAGGCACTGGACACCCTGGATCTTTCCAGGAATAAATTTTCAGGAACCCTGCCAAAGAGTTTCGGAAACTTGACAAAAATATTCAATCTCGACCTCTCTTACAACTCTCTCAATGACCCATTTCCTGTTATGAATGTTAAAGGGATTGAGTCGCTAGACTTGTCATATAACAACTTTCACCTGAAGCAAATACCGAAATGGGTCATTTCATCACCTATTATTTACTCGCTCAAGCTGGCAAAATGTGGGCTTCAGCTGAACTTAAGCGAGTTTCAGCCCGCCGAAACGTACTTCTATGACTACATTGATCTGTCTGGTAACGAAATATCGGGCAGTCCGGTTGGGTTGCTGAATCGGACGGATTATCTGGTGGGGTTTTGGGCTTCGGGGAACAAGTTAAAGTTTGATTTGGAGAGTTTGAGGATTGTGAAGACATTGAAGACGTTGGATTTGTCGAGGAATTTGGTGTACGGGAAGGTGCCGAAAGGAGTTTCAGGACTTGAAAAATTGAATGTGAGTTATAATCATCTGTGTGGTCAGATTCCGGCAAATAAATTTGCCGCGAGTGCTTTTGTGGGGAATGATTGTCTTTGTGGATCTCCATTGCCGCCATGCAAATAGTTTAAGAGCATTAAGAAGTAAGAAGTTGATGGTATTGGAAATGTGCATTACATTAAGCATGGAAATGGAAAGAAAGTGAAAGGGCTGTGCCTGTGAATGAATGACTTCTGCTATTTTGATTATATGAATAAAAGAATGAAATAAAATAATAGATTTTTTTTTTTTTTTTTTTTTTAACATCTTTTATCTCTTTATCAATAATATTGTATCTGATCAAACCCAACTATTGTCTTAAATATATGAAATATATATAAAACCAAAACTCAAATTAGAGATTAGATTAAGTTAACCAATATTTAATTCTCAATTCCCTAGTTATGAATTAATATAAAATGTATTAACGTGACAGTTAAGAAATCAATCTATTGTTTAGTACAAAATTTTCTATTAAACACAATTTGATAAATATTATGTATATAATGTTTAATATCTACCCTATCTAATTCAATGAAAATCAATAAATCAACTAAATTAGGTTAAACGTGTATAAGCAAGACTTAATTATGTAAAGAATTCTAACTATCAATAATACATGATGTTGGGGGATAAAATAAGCCTATCCCATGCCAAGTGTCACGACCCTAGAAGAATCGTGCAACCTTAATGCACAAACAAGAGATTAAACACTAAGTAAGCCTAAATAAACAAAGATTGAGAGAAAAATTCTAGTGTATTGCTCTCAATTGACTACTTTGTTTGGAATATGAAAAAAACCAAAGACTAGCTAGCTTTATATTGAAGTTTACAAGTAGATCTAATGGTCTAGATTTGTACATATCCATTAAGATTGGATGGTTAGGATTAATTATACAAGCAATAAAATCTTAATCCTATTCTATTGTCTTTTTGGTGAAAGGACATTCTAGAAGCTTCTGGAAAGATTCTATAACATATTTTTTGATGCTTCTAGGTTCTTGAACTATTTATTGGGGCTCGTACAAACTTGGGCTTGGCCCAGACGTGACATTCTCCCCTACCTAACTGCGCGATGTCCTCATCTCGAAGCCGTATTGTGAAATACCCGAATCTTGCATTCACAAAATTTTGACGGCGTTTATGTTTTGAGATGTGCTTGATTAATTTTTCAAAACAAATAGGGATAACTGGATTAAAAAACGCCCATAGTTACTTGAAAATGCACTTTCAAAAACTATAGCGGGTGATTGATTTTATCTATAAACTAGATGGAAAGCCCGCGCGTTGCACGGGTATGTTTATTATATTTTGTTTACATTTTTTTTTTTTTTTTGTGTGTGTTTTAAATATATATTTTACGTATTGAAGTTTATTTTATATTGAATTGATAATTAAAGAAATATTATGTACAAAAAATTAATATATGAAATAAACATTTTAAATTTATTGTTCATATAAAGAAATATTATGTACAAAAGAATTAATATTAATTTTATCATATTGTATAAATCAAAGTCATGTTTTGATGGTTTTGATCTAGAGATTCTTGCAATAAGAAGGTACTCAAGATTTGTGAAAGAAATATTGATCGGCAATTTCATTGCATCAATTATCATGAAAACAAAAAAAAAACTTTTAATATAGTATTAATAGTCTATTCTAATTGTAAGTACAAACTAATGACTTTGCATCTTGATTGTTAACATTAAACAAGATTGTTAAGCAATGACTAAAATTATAGGATTAAACATGATTGTTCAACAATGGCTACAATTATAGGGAAATTGTATGGCAAATTGTTAGTTATAATAGCAACAAAACATATTTTAGTAATTCAGTAAGAATATGTTTTAGTTATTATTTTTTTTTTTGTTAAAAATTATATTTTAATTTATTATTACAGGCAATTACATTTATTCAAATTATTTGTAAGTGTGAACTGACATGTTTGAACTGGCTTATTTATAAGTGTTAAACCCGTTTTTTTACCGGGTCTTTAACCAGTTTATTAGTTTGTTTAGGTTTTTAATTTTTGCGTTTCCCTTTTTCATTTTTCATTCGTTCACTGGCATTGTTAATTTCTTTCTATCTATGAAGATTGAACATTGTGTTAGTGGCGTTTGGTGCTGCTGTTGCGATTTACTTTGAAGATGATTACAGGGTTTGTCCTATTTCTTTGTTATGCTTTGTTTTGTTTAATTTTTTGTTACTGTTGTTGACTGTTAAGATTATAGAGAGTAGGTTTATTGTGAATTAGAAGTTTTGAATTTGTTAAACAGTTTATTTCCACAGAATGCCAGATAATGGAACCATTTTTTTTTTTTTTTTCATGTTGAATTTTTTGCTGTTATTAATAGAATAGTGAGTTAGGGTTTTCTATTGTAAGGAAATTAAGTGAAGCTTGACTGTTGTAGGAGGAAGCAAAAACATTAGTTTAAAGGAGAGTTTGTTACCAATATTTCAAAGCTGTCTTTGACGTAGGTCCTTAGAAGTCAACTGTTTGTTGCAGAGCATGAGTTAGTGGTTAAAACTTGTTGCTGTTTTTCCATTTATTTTTCGTTGATGTGTTATCTATTTGAAAGGCTATTAGTTAATTGAATAATGATATAACAGTAAAAGTTTTATTCTAACCTAATTAAGGGAAGTTTGATTATTGAGGAGGTTTTTTTTTTTTTTTTTTTTTTGTACAGCTAATTTTGTTATAATTAGTTGTTAATTATTTTAGTTATTTGTTTTCATTTATATTATTTCTTCTTTTGTGTTTCTAATAAAGTCTTAATCTTGATTAGACTTGGCAAAACGGCGGGTGGGGGTCGTCACGGGTACGGGCCCAATACGGGTCGAGATATACGGGTGCAAAATATTGGGCCCTACCCTACCCTATTCGGTTACAGGTGGACCAACAGTGCCCCTTTTTTCTCTCTCCAAGTTTTAATTTTTACGTTTCACCCCCAATAGTTTTGAATTAGACAGTTACACCCCCAAAAATTCCTACAGTTTTAATTTTTTACATTTACACCCCCAAAATCAACTACTCTAATTCAATTCAATTTAAAATATAACAAATGGAACCAAAATAAACAATAACACATAAACAAACACAATAAGTCAATAACATATAATGCAAAACTATAAATACCACAAAATAAACAAATACATAATCACTAATAGTAATACACATAACAAACACAGAAGTCAATAACACATAATACAAAACTACAAATACCAACCAAAATAAAAAATACTAATCATTTGTTAGTATATAAGAGAGTTGGAGGATCATCAAACGGTGTAGTTTCAACTCACATAATGTAAAGCTCAAACGCGTAGGTTCAGTTTTGTACTTTACTCTTCTGTTAAAAGACTCACCTACTGTATGTTGAAAAATTCAGTTATTGAAGAAAGAAATACGATTTGTCTTGCTTTGTTTTTCCTCTCTTTCATGATTGCTCTATTTCTTTTTACAGTTTACAATCTTCTAGTCTTTTCATGGTATCAGAGCCATAGACTAGCGTCAATGGCAAGTTCCACTCCTGTTTTCTCAGATAATACATCCAAGGTTGATGCTGAACAACTCAGTAATGGACGTACATAGAACTTAACAGTTTATTCCTCACTTCCTAATCTTTCGGTGAAGCTGGTGGAAAAGAACTATAACTACTGGCGTTCTCAAGTTTTACCTGCATTAGCTTCTCATGAGTTAGATTGCTTCATTATAGGTACGAATCCTTGTCCCTCTCTGTTTATAGTGGAGAAATTAGAAGGGAATGAACATGCAATTAAGCGACCAAACCCTAAGTATTTTAATTGAAAGAAGGCTGATCAGTTCTTGGTTAGCTGGTTGCTATCATCAATATCTGAATCTATGTTTAGGCATGTATCTAAATGTAGTACTGCGTATTACATTTGGCACACATTGGAACTGCATTTTCAATTGGTTTCCAAGGCTAGAACCTTACACCTTAGGAATATGCTTCAGACCACTAAAAAGGAATCACAGAGTGTGAATGACTATGTTCTATAGATGAAAGAGTTAGGTGATGAACTTAATGCAAGTGGTGTGCATGTTAGTGATGAGGAGTTATTGTTATACATTCTAGATGGATTAGGCCCAGAGTATGATGCTGTAGTTGCGAATCTTACCTCTAATGTTAATCAAATTACTTTTCAAGAAGCTCAATTCTTGTTGCATAAGCATGGGATGAGGTTAGAGAAGCAAAATAATGCTTTTTTGCATTTCCATGGACAAATGTCTTCTGCCCTTTTAGCATAAAAAAATGGACCATCTGAAGGTTCTAGTGTACTGCCTCACAATGACACTGGTGTAATGATAAATCAGTCAACCAATATGCTGAGTCCTGCTATGAGCAATTTATCACAATCTGGTTCAGTGTCTCAACAAGCACAACATGCCAACTTTGGTCACACAGGATACTCACAGTTTGTTGATGGAAACTCAGTTGGAAATTTTAGACCTGATCATAATAGAGTGCCCTACAATCCATCGTTTGCCTCACCACAGTTTTTTGCTGGAGGATTTAACCCATTTGCAAAAGGTCGAGGCAGGGGTAGAGGTTTTGATAAGCCAAGATTAGTGTGCCAAGTGTGCGGGAAACCTGGTCACTCAGCACTTCAGTGCTATCACATATTTGACCATGATTACCAAGGTTTCTTTGGACCTACTAGTACAAGTTCAGGATTGTTTCCATATGCAGGATATGTACCTGCTCATCCTGGACCTTCATAAGCTCCTAATCACTCAGCTCAAGCTTTACTTGCTGGCACTTCTATACCTGTTGGGTCGTTCAATCCTAACATCACTACTTTCCATGATTATTCAGCATATAATGGACAACATGGAAGTCCACAATATCAGCAACAACATGGAACTCCATAATATCAGCAACCTATCTTTGGACCTTTGCTCAATTCTGTCCAGACTAATACAAATCCTAATCTGGATGTCAGTGTTACTTCAGGGTCTACTAATCCACAAATGGCAACTTCTCAGATAGTAAAAGATCAGTCCTGGTACATGGACTCCAAGGCCTCAAATCACATGGTTGTTGATTCCTCTAACATGTTGACTCGGACCAATTATTCTGGAGGATCTAAGGTCCAAGTTGGAAATGGGGAAGCCTTACCTATTACTCACGTAGGTATGATGGTTCTTCCGTCTTTTAATTCAAATAAAATAGTTCATCTATGGAATATATTATGTGTACCTAATATAGCCAAAAACCTGCT